GAAGCGTTTGCTCAGAATATTTTGATATGTCTCCAATAATTTGTGAGAATTATGCACAAAGAGGAAATTTTCGATCCTTCGAAAATATTGCAAAATCTCCACGATTTTGGGATCAAGATTTCTGAACTTCACAAGGAAAGATTCCTTTATAATCTGCAAATACTTGTCAGTGAGATAATAATCTTTGTAAAATATAGAAAATGTCACGTACATACCTTCCTCCGATTTGCAGATCAAACTTGCCAATTGTAATAAATCTTCTAAGAATATAGCAAGTGTATCCAAGTACATAAAAGTATGCAATAATATCTTTCAAGATTGTAGGAATTTTCCTTAATCATGAATCTCATATGCATAAAGATAATATGACATTAACGAATTTCGCAAAAGAATAGTATGTATTTCTACCACGTGCCAAGTCATGTAATAAATATGTGCCATGCCTTATGACAAGAGACGTTTGCAATATGTAAGTCATAAGCAATCATCATGATTCGTGTAGAAATTTGCAAGGCAAGATGATGACTATGAATTTTTTATTTTCTTACCCAAGGTATATGTTTGAAATATACCGTTGATTTAAAGATGATCCTTCTCAATTTTCGCTTGAGATAATCCTCTGATTGCACCATGATTTGTGTAGATTTGCAATCATTCTTCCTTTGTAGAATTTTCTGCAATAAACTCACTTCCTTTCTAGTAGCCATGTATTTGGATCCTTTCCTTTTGTTAGGCGTAAAATAGGAAACTTTCATAGAAGCTCAAGGATACTTTCCCAACAATCTCAGTAGAATATTTAAGGGAAATATATCATGCATAGTAAAACAATATCTCGTAAAAAAATTCTTTCTTTGTAAGGCATGAAAAGATCGGAGAGCACGCAACTATTCCATAAATCTGAATTATTTCTTTCCCAAAACGAAATAAGATATTAATCAATCTCTTTTATAAAATTTCATCTCAAGATCCTTCAAAATAAAATTGACTTTTATTTCAAAAAGACATTTCCAACGCAATTATAGAACATGCCAAAGAATATCGAATACAATGGGAATTTGTAGATATGTAAAGTATGTTCCCAAAACAAATTTAGAATTTGAAAAATATACCTTTACTTACCAAATTCTCTTTCCTTTATTCCCTACAAGAAAAGTAATCTCATCTTTTCTTTGATACTCATATTTTCTTGGGTCCATTTTGGTTAGGATCAATCATTCTCAGAATGTCTTTCTGAACAGGTTTCCAAACCTTAGGACATTCATTCTTAAAGTGATTTGTATCACTGCAATTTGAGCACTTAAAGGAAGTTTGACCATTGAATTTCACAAACTGCTTTTGAAAGTGATTTTGATATACAAATCTAGGGGGTCTTTTCTTTAGTCTTTCTTTGACATTGGGAAAAGCATTTTTCAATTCAGTAATTTTCTCAAAACCCAAACCCGATTTATTATAATAGGGAACTTGAATTGACAAAATATGTTGAAAATTTTTGGAACCCATTGAGAATTTCTTAGTTATATTTGAAATTTTATTTTTCAAAAGTTCTTTTTCTTTAGAGATACGATCAGAAATTTCCTTTTTCAATAAATCAATTTTCTTTTCAAGGAATTATTTATTCTCCTTGATAAGATTAAATTCTTTTTGCAAGAAATCAATCTTATCCTTTTGCGAAATATCTTGCTGTTTTAAAAGATTGTTTTCCCTTTTTAAACATTCATTTTCATATACAATTGACTCATCAATTTTCTTGTTTTGAGTCGCACTTTTTAAAGTCAAAATCTCCTTCTTCAATACAGAAATCTTTTTGAAAGCAATTTTATTAACAGTGACTAACTCATCAATATAATTTGCAACTGCTTCAGGAATTTTGGAATTACTTACTTCGTCTTCTTCATCAGAACTTGATTCTGAGTCTGAATTTGCCATCAAGCAGATATTGGCATACTCTTGTTCGCTCTCATCATCATCTGAGTCACTCCAAGTTTCAGCTTTGAAAACCTTCTTATATTGTTCATACTTTGCTTTGTTCTTTTTGAGAAGAGGACATTTGGACTTTTTGTGTCCGTTCTTTTTGCAATGAAAACATATCACGTCCTTGTTTTCTTCATCTTCGACACTTGATTTCTTCTGAAGGTTTAGCTTCTTGGCTTTTGATGGCTCAGAATTCTTGAATTGCTTCTTTGACTTATTCATCTTCACCTTCTTTGCCATCTTTCTCAGTTTCTTGACCATTTGAGCCAACTCTTCATCTTCATCCTCATCTTCATCTGAATCTGTGTCATCAGAATTAATGTTAGTTTTTAAAGCTATGGATTTTTTACCTTTCGGTTCTTCAATTTCTAAGAACTTTTCAGTTTCATAGGATTGAAGAGTTCCGATAAGTTCGTCTACTGTGAGTGGTCTGATTCCCTGAGTTTCTCAAATAGAAACTTTGATGTTGTTCCACTCTTTTGAAAGAGCTCTCAGCAACTTGTTCACCTTCATAGGTTCTGAGGTGGGATTGTTTTGGAATTCAATCCCATTTACGATCTCAGTAAATCTGCTCTGCATATCGGAAATTGTTTCATTTGATTTCTGAGTGAAGGACTCGTACTGCCTAAGGAGAATGTTGAGATTTGTCTCCTTGACTTTCTCTGTTCCTTCATGAACAAGCTTGAGACAATCCCAAATTTCTTTTGCAGTTTTGAGATTTGCAATTCGTTTATATTCAACACTTGCTAGACCATTGTATATTGCCATTCTGATCTTTGCATCCAGATAGATCCTTTTGGAAATTTCCTTGGCCGAGAGAGGCAGAGCTTGAGGTTTGATTTGCTCTCTAATTCCTTCGGCAAAAGGTGTCTCATTTTGCCTTTTTGAAATTTCTGGGGATTTTGTTTCGGTTGAAACATTTGGAATGATTCCATGTTCAACAATGTCCCATATATCCTGATCTATTCCCATGATAAATGTCTTCATCTTATTTTTCCAGACACTGTACTCAGTTCCATTGAAATAAGGCGGTCTGTTGTTGTGACCTGACTCAGCATTACTAGCCATCAAGAATCGTTAGCTCAAAAGTAAAATAACGATTAAAAAAAATGAGCACTAGGCTCTGATACCAATTATTACAGCTAGTGCTATCACCTAGAGGAGGTAAATAGGTGATTTTACCAAATTGGATGATTTAAATGTGCGGAATGAATATAGTCGAGGTCAACAACTCGTATGATCAATATCAGATGGATGCGTATGACAAACCTATATGTAAGTTGTCGTCAGATGATTGTATCTGATGACTAAGATGATGTTTTAACGAACTCGTTTGATAGATATGTCTGCAGTATAATCTCAGCAATAATAAATGAAAGTTTAGGGATAGATAATACTGCACACAGATCTTTATAGTGGTTCGGCTTTATTAAGCCTACGTCCACTCTCCACGCTGGCAGCCTGTTAGCTGTGTTTCACTATTGAATCGCCAAAAGATTACAATAGCAGTGCTTCTCAGATGATAGACTACACTATCACGTACACTCTTCACTCAAGTAATTTTCTTTCTGAAGTCACAACGCGGAATACAATAATCACAAGTGTGTAAGATCGAAGCTCTATTAAGACTTTGGAATTCTCGATTCTAGTTCTTATTCTTGTACGACGTTTGCACTCCTTTTATACTCCTCTACTTCCAATCTATCCGTTGGACAGTCTTCAGAGGATTGATCTCCAAATTAACCCGTTGGAGAAACTTTCCAAAAGAAAATGCATAGCCGTTAGAAGAAGAACCATTATCTTTAGGTGATTTGATCACCCATACAATCAAATCAAGGTTTCCATAAGTGTAGTTCTTCGTGTTTAAAGAACGATCTTGTCATTGCTAATTAGGATATCTTGAGATATCAATTTGATTGTCCTGCATAAACTTGCCAAAAATAACACTTATTGAATCTGACGAGTAATTATGAGTCTGATAACAAAGTCCTTTCATCGACTAAGTATTATGATTCAGTAGTTACCTGCATCAAATAACTTAAGTGTAATTGTGGTCAGTAAATGGATTGTTTTGTCTTTCTTCAAAACTAATTAGGGATTTTCCTCAACAGTGCCAAACTTCAATTGATATCAAAGATGTCAATTTCTAACTAAAGTTGCCCACTCCAAAGTTGTCAATTCTTAAGTGTCCATTTTAAGTTGTCGATTTATATGCATCAACTCCTAAGTTGCCGATTTTCTGAAAGTTGCTGACTATATGAATTAAATGGTAATGTCTTGTTCCGAGCTTTCTTCATGAGGAATTAACGGCGTTACAGAGAAGGTATGTCCTCTTTACTACCGCCCTCTCAATAGTCCCCTGTCCTTTCTCAACAAGAGATAGATCAACTTGGTAGGGTAAGAAAAAAGCAAAACTGATTTTTCGAATGCACTGCCAATTTTCCTCTCCATATTTGTCTTTTGCATTGCAATATACTTTGTATATTACTTAAATGAATTGTCAAATATCATTGAAGAAATCTAATTAAAAGACATTATATTGCTTTATGTTAGAATGCGACTTTCTCACGAATATGAATTTATTTGGTAACTGAAACATCTCCAACCTATGATGATCCAATTATCTTTGACTTTGACAGGAATACGAAGTCATACAAATATTCATTTTTAAATTTCTTGTAGATTGAACTTAAATCAATTGCATAATCTCGTTTGTTTTAAACTTTATGAAAAGTAATGGACGAAATAATGAACAACATTGAATGCCCGAGAAAATTGTTCAGAAACCCGGCTAAAATAGAAAAAAAAGAAGAATCTACTTTCTTGTTTTCGGCAACATATCTTACCGCGTACATAACATACTCGTCTTGATTTTCATGGCCATTAGTGTGTAAATCATGATCAAGATACTCATATCCACAAAGATAAATAGCCTTACTATTATTTAATCCATCTTATAGATTGTCTCCGCGTCAACCAATATCACAACTTTACTCATTTGCGACTGTCTTAGATCACTCTCTTCGACTATGGCAGGAAGACAAACAAGGGGGAGTCGAAGAACTGAGATGAAACAAATCGCAAATGAGACTAGCAGGTTTATCACATTTTCAAAACGTAAAGCTAGCATCTACAAACTGTCGAGCGAGCTTGTGACCCTCTGCGGGGCGGAGGTGGGATTTGTAGCGGTCTCTCCGGCTGGTAAGCCCTTCTCTTTTGCTCATCTGTCCATTGACACAGTCGCCAATCGGTTCCTCAACCGAAACCCTCCGCCCAACGATAGGTCTCGTGCTTTGATCGAGTCCTATCATCAGGTCCAATCTACCAATGAGCTCAACCAGCAGCACGATGAGCTCTATAATCAGATCAAAGCTCAGAAGACGCAAGGCAAAGTGTTGAAGCAACTGACCGAAGGAAAAGGCGATGGGGAATGGTGGGCAGCTCCCATGGAAGAGCTCAACCAGGAAGAACTCTACCGGATGAAGGGGCGAATGGAGGACCTTCGGCGGAGCTTGTTGAGGTCAATCGATCAACAGACTCGAGGAGAGGCATCTGCATCTTCTCAAGGACGAATTTTTTTTATTATAATACTGCTTCAAATGCTGCTGCCCCTCCCACCCCCATGAGATTAAGGATGGACTAGTTTGAGAGATGATGATGTGTGCTTATTTATGATGTTGATTGGTGTCTTTCGTAGACAAGAGATTATGGATGGTGTTTCATGTCTTAAACCCATTTACATGCGCTATTGCTTAACTATTAATTAGACTAACAAAGCATGTGTCAAATTTAACGTATAAGTGAGAGCAATTTGATAAATTTATTATAAGATGATTTGGAACGGTCATATCTTGGAACACTTGAGGAGACTAATTTGACTTTTGTCGATTAAAAGTGATCTCAACGTGAAACCCCTTAGATTGTTTACACTTTTATGGGGTATTTTATCGCGTTCCTCATGTGAGTTTGTTTTTGAACGTGACAAAAAAAAACAAAAAGCCGGAAGTTCCGTTTTTGTTTGGTTTTATTACTGGTGTCTTTATCTCCAATACTCTTGTTTATAGTTGTTGCCTTCTTCTATATGGAGAGCATAGGCCTTCTATGAATTCTTGATGGACCATTGTTGACACCTCCTATTAAGCATAATTCGTCCATCAACCTGAACTTCAACCCGAAATCGTGCTCATGGCTCGCTTGTTAGCCGTGATTCCGATCACTGGACATAAGCCAAGCTCCCATCATCGATCTAGTCACCGATTGTAGCTCCGTTTCTACTCATCGACCAGGTAACGCTAATGTCCTGTCCTACTCTATTTCGATGGAGGAGGAAACCGAGCTTTCATCGTCTCCGTTAAAAATGGAATTGGTTTTACTCGAGTATACATCTTATCATGTTTGTAAGCGTCTAATCTAGAAGCCAAACTCATTTGTGGACTCAGTTGTGAAAAAAGCTTTTGATATTGTTCAAATCTGAAGATGTATTGACATAGTTTACATGTTATTACTTGTTTTTAGACATGATTTTTCTAGCACATTCTGTAGTTGTCCCCCAATATCGCTGAATCTGTGTATTTCTCTGTTCTGTGTTCCTTGTTTCCTTTTGACGATGGGATGAAGACAATGGAAGTCAAAGGATTACAAAATGGAATATAATTAATAGAAGTTAAAAAACCAAAAGAAGTGTGGGCTTGACTTAGCTTAGATGGGTTTGGGTTTAATAAAGTTTCAATATGAATAGGGGGCTTCGTTGGTTTTGGGCTTCAATTAGTTTTGTTTTGAAAAGGGCTTGAGATAAGAGCCCAATCGTGTTCTGTGCCAAGACCATTAGCAGAACATTGGAATAATTAATAATGACAATACCTCTCTGATTGTCTGATTGTTTTGGTTTGTGTTTCGGGTCGTCCGTGATCCGAAATCGAACCGAACCATCACAAAGTCCTCCTTTTTTTACTAATGAAAACCCGATTTGAAAAGATCCAAATTTTTTTTGGGTTAGGATTGATTTGATTCGGGCGGTTTTTTTTTCTTTTACATCCCCAGTCACTGTACAATATATTTTTCCGAACAATTTGTCACGACGAGATGCGACGAGGGATGGCATGTTTCGAGATCTACGATTTCATACACTTCCTCTCTGATTTGGAGCTATTCCGGTTGATTTCGGGTTTGGGCATCATCATCGGTGTTTATGGAGCTTTCAGACTCGACCTGTCGGGTCTGAGTGTTTTGCTGGGTATTGGAAGGTCAGAATAGAATCAGGTTTGGCTAAGACATCATGGGGGTATTTCAGGAACTTTTGCGTCAGAATTCTTACCCTTCATCAAGCACGCAATTTATGAATATTATTAAGTGATGCAACCAATTTTAGGATTGCTTCCGTAATATTAAACACTCGCGATCTTTCATTCGGGTACAAATGTATTTCAACAAGTCATGTTTTAGACAAATGAAAATTTTCTGAAATTTGACGGAATTTTGAAAAATGAGTTGGAAATTAATTTTCATGATTTGGAAAAAAGAAACTCACATTTACTTTCTTAAATAGACATGCACTATTATCACCAAAAAAAAAAAAATAGACATGTATTATTCGTGACATAAGGTCCACACGCGCCGTACCATCAAATTTTATATAAATATTTTATCGAATTCAAATGCCATGGCATAAATATCCGACTGTCGATAATTTATCTTTTCACTCGTGATATTTTATCAGCATTTATATTTTCTTCCTATTTTTTTTTTGTTAGGTTAACATTTTCTTCCTAGTTGACGAAAGCTACCCAGCCAACACTTTCTCCATATTTTCCTTCGCTCGTCTCTCTTTTCCTCATCCGCCTCCATGCCCAACCGCTGCACCTCGGCTCGCCGTCACCACCACCGACGCCGCGCTCAGTGCCCGGCCACCGCCGCCGTGTCTTAGGACGCGCGGCCACCAACCGCCGTCGCTGCTCCGACTTCTTCCCCGTGTCGCCCTCTCTCCTCTGTTATCGCCCTCCTATATTTTTTGTTTTCTGTTTCTTGCGCTCAGCGACGTCCCCCCGGGCCTCGCTGTGGAATCCCACAGCCACGGTCAAGTCGCCGCCGCCGCCGCCTGATCTGGAGGTGATGCTCGGCGTCTATGGTCGAGGCGTAGCTCGACGCCAAGCTTAAACAGAAAAATACGTGGGCGGCGTAGCTCAACACCGGCGTTCATGGCCGAGGCTTAGGCTCAGCATCCATGGCTCAGCATCGCTGGCCGAGGCTAGCTCTGTCGAGGAGGCTGAGCTTCAGCAGCAACATGTCCATTTACCAGCGAGGACGAGGAGGAGATGTCGAGATCGGCTCTGTCCGCTTTCAGGGTCAAGAGAGTCGCCGTGATTCGGAAGATGGTGAAAGAGAAGAGAGAAGATAGGACGTGGTTTTTCTTATTTCCCAATATGGACTTTTCGGTTCCAAGAAGAGATATCTTCCATGATCAACGACTTTTCCGGTCCCACATGCCGGAAAATGATAAAGATTTTTTTGCTTAAAATTCACATGAACAATAATTATCTTGTCTTCTTTATCCTGTTGATAAAAACAAGGTTTGATTCTCACGATGACATGTTTTGATGTTCTTTTTTCAGATTTCGTAAACTCTGGCTTCTACAAATTTGGGCATCGGTTGGGCATCGGTTGGAGTTGTCTTTCGAAAATATGTATTTCTCTGGATATTTCTCTCGTGCTGTGCCCTCCTGGTGATGTCCAAGCATAATCCACTCTTGAGACTCTTGTTCAGCACTTTAAGCCTATCCGGCTTCTTCAATGAAGATGAAGTTTCAGAAATGGAATCACGGAACCACATATAAAAGTCCGAAGCCAGCGAACTAACTGCAGTATATACTAATACTGGTATGTGCCATTGCATAGCAATGATGATTTTTGAAGTTTTCTTACCAACGATACGAGCCCTAATAACTGACCCCTATCATGTTGACGCTACATGCCAATGACTGTTGAGCGTCAGAGACGCGGCAACAATATTGATTTGATGGAAGAAATTTTTGAAGGTGAAACGATCGCAATTCGCGCCTTTCTATTGCATGTCTCAATTACAAGAGAAATAGACTATATATAAGCCATAGTTTGATTCGAAATAAGAAACCTCTTTCTAAGAAACCTATTCTAATTAGGAAACCTACTCCGATTAGGAAACCATTCAATTAGGAAACCTATTCAAAATAGGAAATCTAATTGACTTAGGAAACTTTCCTCTTTCGGGCTCAAACTATAATTAGCACCTAAAAACACAAAAAATCAAAATATGAAAATACGAATAGACTCAAAAAAGGAAACAAGTATCAACAAATTTGGTTTAATTTCTAACACTCCTCCCTAAACCAAATTCTCTTCCATCAATCATTCCAAGCAGGCTCTTGAACTTTCGAAAAGCATCGATCTTGAGAGGTTTAGTAAAAATATCTGCTACTTGATCTCCGGTCTTCACATGCAATACTTCAACTTCATTCTCTTTAACCTGTTCTCGGATGAAGTGATATCGAACATCGATATGTTTATTTCATTCATGAAAAACTAGATTTTTCCCCAAAGCAATAGCAGAAACATTATTAACAAAAATCTCCGTTGCTTTCTTCTGCTCCATAAGAATATCTTTGAGTAGTCTTCTCAACCATATTGCATGACAAACGCATGAAGATGCAGCTACATATTTAGCTTCACATGTCGATAGAGTAACACTTGATTGCTTCTTTGATGACCACGTGAAAGCAGTGTCGCACAAAAAAAATACAAATCCGGTGGTGCTTTTTCGATCGTCGATATCTCCACCATAATCACTATCCAAATAAGCTCTAAGTTTGAAAGATTCAGAGCAATAATAGTGTAAGCCATGACAAATAGTACCTTTGATATACCGAAGTATTCTCTTTGCAGCTTTAAGATGAGATGATTTCGGCTTCTCCATGTATTGACTCATAATTCCAACACTATACATAATATCCGGTCTCGTGCATGTCAAGTATCTTAAACTCCCAATCAAGCTTCTATAATATGTCGAATCAACATCGGCACCATCATTAAACTTCGAAAGCTTGGTTCCGCACTCCATTAGTGTATTGACCGGCATACAATTCTTCATGTTGAATTTTTCAAGGATATTTTCTGCGTATCCTTTTTGGGAAATAAAAATCCCATCGGCACTTTGCTTCACTTCGATACCAAGGAAATAATTCATGAGACCATTATCGGTCATCTCAAATTCTTTCACCATCGATGCCTTAAAAACATCAATCATCGCCGAATTATTTCTCGTAAAAACAAGATCATCAACATATAAACAGGTGAGCAGAATATCACCTTTTTCTTGCTTCAAATAGAGTGCATGCTCATATGGACATTGAGAGAATTCATTCGCCTTGAAATATGCATCAATTCTGGAATTCCATGCTCTCGGTGCTTGTTTAAGCCCATATAGAGCTTTCTTCAACCTTAGCACTTTGCCTTCATAACCTTTCACAACAAACCCCTCGGGTTGTTCAATATAAATTTCTTCTTCAAGGATGCCATTCAAGAATACTGATTTGACATCCATTTGATAAATCCGCCAATTATTTTGAGCAGCAATGGAAATAATCAATCTAATCGT